ATGAGGATGAGAAAGAGAAAAAGGAAAATGAAAGAGAGAAAAAAATAGAATGTGTGAGAGAGAGAGAGAGAGAGAGAGAGAGAGAGAGAGAGAGAGAGAGAGAGAGAGAGTGAGTGAGAGAGAGAGAGAGAGAGAGAGAGAGAGAGAGAGAGAGAGGGAGAAGGAGAGAGAGAGAGAGAGAGAGAGAGAGAGAGGGGAGGGAGAAGGAGAGAGAGAGAGAGAGAGAGAGAGAGAGAGAGAGAGAGAGAGGAGAAGGAGAGAGAGAGAGAGAGAGAGAGAGAGAGAGAGAGAGAGAGAGAGAGAGGAGATAAATAGATAGATAGAGAGAGAGAAAGAGGAAAAAGTAAGGAAAAGGAAGTTACTGTGAGAGTGTGCCTTGTTCCCGAGTAAATAACCTCAAGATTCTGCATCATTAAGGGAAATCAGCCAGAGGCAACAATCTGAATAAAAGGGCTTGCGTTTTTCATTCGCTCCAAAGATGTGTTAGGAAGATGGCCGGAGTATAAAAAATGCATAAGAGTTGCCTCCAAGCAATATCCAAAACTGGCAAGAAGTCCCTAGTGTGGGAGAGCTTTTTTATATATGAACATTACTTTCTGGTCGCAACATTTTTGTTTGGGCATATATAAACCTTGTACACACTGCATAGTGTAATGAAAATGTGCATAATCACTTGGGTTATTAAAGAAAAAATCTGGTCCTCTTTTTATTCGAGTATATATCTATATACAGAAATATCCTGTTAAAAAAGAAATTGTATTCATATATAAATCCAATCATTCCCAGGGTGCCATGTAGACGACACACAAATGCTACTGTATATAAGCAAACACTGATTAATGAAGTGTATTATATATATGTATAGGTATATATATATATATGTGTGTGTGTGTATGTAGATGTAAATGCATATCAGTTCATATGTATATGCATGTATGTATATGTAAAATGCACACGCACACGCACACACACATGCACGCATGCGCACACGCACACGCACACACACACTCACTAACACTATATATATATATATATATATATATATATATATATATATATATATATATATATATATATATATATATATATATATATATTACATATACATGCATACATACATACATTGTGGGGGGGGAAAAAAAGTGTGCATTTTTCTGTGTGTAAACACGCACACAGACACAGACAATATGCACATATATATGTACATATACATATATATATATATACACACACACACACATTATATATATATATATATATATATATATATATATATATATATATATATATATATATATATATATATATATATATATATATATATATATATGTATATATATATGTATATATATCTATATCTATATCTATATCTATATATATATATCTATTCATTAAGTCAATGCTGGGAGAATTCTGTTATATTTACTTTTTTTGCCTCTTTCGTACATTAAACATTATATCTACATATTCTGATATACTTAGCTGACTTAACTAAGTTTACTACAGTGAAGTGGATTTCTTATATATATCATCTTAGATCTAAACTTTCTTTTCTATAAAAAAAAAAATTATCACTTTTTAACTTTACTCCTGCCTCTACTGGCCATTCTACAGAAACCAAAATATAACAATTTAAAGAAAAAATGGTACATTTACACCCTGTTAAAAAAGTATGAATAAATATCGAGTGCATGAACATTATAGATTAAGATTTTGCTATGATTAAGAACAGAATAACCTGCTCATGGACTGGTTATGTTATTGTAAAGGCTTTTGTATTTCCTTTGTTTTATGCGATGTAAACTCCTTACTTAATATCACAAATATTTTGCACATGTTTGTATTAACATACCTAACATCAAAGAATTGAATAAATGCAGTTTGAAGGAATATGGTATGTATAATACTGTGTAAAGTTGATCAGTAATAAAATAAGAATTTAAAGGGCTTTTGTATGCTAACATCTATTTATAATTACATGGCTTGTGTTGTCATAATGATTTGCACTATTTGATATTAATATGTGAATTTTAACATTCTCATAATACACAGCGTAATAAACATGGAATAAGTAGTCAATGCATTATAACGTTAAAGAGTAATAAGATTAATAATCATTATACATCTATGAAAGAACTATTTCCAGCCTCTGTGTACTAATTAATATTTTTTACAACTCTTAAAAAATCCTATTACTCAGAATACATTGGGCAAATCTTCAAGTCTTGTTGGGATTTATTAGATTGAAAAAGGATACTTAACTGGACAAAAAAGAGAAACAGTACATTTAATTTATTCTGGACACTTTCTGACAAACTATCATAACTGTAGAATTAAATAACTTTCATGGTTTTTAAGTATGTAAAATATGATTCATTCTTAAAATAAAAAAATAACATACTGATGAACAATGATTTCAGATGAAGACATTTCAGTAGCATGACCACAGAGATAATACACAGAATAATGTTTCACAATTACACAAAGCAAAGGAGACTAAAATACATAAAAGGAATGCAAGAACTTGTAAGGCATATACATGAAATATTCTTCCTGTAATTAGCCAATACCATTCACAATATCAATATGGTATATGGTATGTAGATTCAGAATACCTTTAGATTTTGCAGTTGGTGACCAAAGAACTTCCCTCAACTCTATAGGAGTGAACTGGGCAAGACTTCCTTTCTACAAAATCTGATCACTGAACCAGAATATGGCTGCATTATATATGTATATATTTCCATTATATAAATCTCCATCACCTGCCTTTTTGTTTTTTTTATTCTTTTTTTTTTTGAAGTCATAAAGAGCCATACACATTTCCAATTCCTTCCATGAAATCTACTTCACCACCATTCATAACATGTCCCTCATTTCTGCTTCTTCTTTGAGCTTTTCTTTTTCCCTCCTGATCCTCCTCCACCATATTTGGCAGCAAGGGAGTCCAAGAAGGCATCTGCCTCTTGCTCGCGCTCCTTCCCCCGCTTAAGGATGAGAGCTCTCAGGCTGTCAGTGGTGTCTCCAAGACCCAGTTCCTTCTTCATCTCCTCTGCCTCCTCAGCTTCCCTGTCAGCCTGCAGGACAGATGGAATATTGTTTGCCCATTTCAAAAAAAAGTTACTGTATATGAAACCATAGATTCTTGCCATATCTTGTGTTATACATAAACTTTCAATTGTTGCTGATTACATTTACCATATTTCTCCCTGATCATAATTTTTCCGTTTTATGGCATTGCATATGAGGTCATCTGTTCCCTTTAGTATTCAATCTAATCTAGAATTGTAACATCAAATACCAATTCTACAATTTACACACACACACACACACACACACACACACACACACACACACACACACACACACACACACACACACACACACACACACACACAAAGAAAATAAAATTATGTTAATGCATAAACTCAGAATCCATAAAACATTAAAAGGGACTTTAAATTATCAAGAAAATCAAAGTCAAAGTCAAAATCAAACTACCAAAACCTCATGATTTCTAAACTAACGGATGAGACGCACCTTTCGTTTTCTTGCTTCTTTCTTGTGCTTGTTTTCTCGCGTGAAGTTCTCAAAGGCACGGACCTCGTTCTTCTTGATCCAACCTTGAATTAGTTTTCTAAACCTGCAGAAAGATATATATTTTTTAGATTACTGAAGAAAAGAGGCATGGTGGATAGAGAAGTGAGACAGATGAGAGAGAAGAGGTGGAGAGGAGGAACGAGGAGGAGGAGGCAGAGGAGGAGAGAGAAGGAGGAGGCAGAGGAGGAAAGAGGAGGAGGAGGCAGAGGAGAAGAGAGAAGGAGGAGGCAGAGGAGGAGGAGAAGGAGGAGGCAGAGGAGAGAGAAAGAGGAGGAGAGAGAAGAGGTGGAGAAGAGGAGAGAAGGAGAGGAGGAGGCAGAGGAGGAGAGAGAAGGAGGAGGCAGAGGAGAGAGAGGAGGCAGAGGAGGGGAGGAGGAGGAGGAGGAGGAGGAGGAGGAGGAGAAGAAGGAGGAGAAGGAGGAGAGACTCGAACAGAAGGAAGAGAAACAGAGTGGGAAGGAGGGAAGAAAGTGAGAGGAGGGAGAGAGAAAATACATGCTAATATTATAATAATTTTCAAAATAACTTATCTGACCGAACTATAACTAGTTTACAAACTTGTACACTGAATGCAGTTATCAAAACTGTGGCAAAAGTACATATATACTGTATATTACACAGCCAATGATAATGATTATAATCCATAAAAAAATGAAGTTATAGAGTTACAAGGCTTTAAATGACTTTGACTGGCATCATACAGCTAGTGTTCCAGGCCACTGATAAATGGAAGAACCTATTGCATATTGCAAAGGCCATATGAAATTGAATTTATCAACTCCAGGAACTCAACTCAAATTCTGATCGTTTGACTTAAATGACTGATTTTCCTCTTAGTTTTAAGCATGATGAAATGCATTTTAGACATCACCCTCTCTCTATTGAACTTATTAATGAATTAATGTTTAATTCTTAAGATCATAGATTAACCCCCAGGCATATCAGTTATAACCCCAGCTGAGAAGCACTGCCCCATGGCCAGATTAAGGGTACATTTACTCTCGTCTTTAACCCATTCGCGCTGGGTAAAAATGAACAAAAAATGGGGGAAAATGCTGTGCTCATTTTTTATACTTTTTGTGAAATTTCTCTACACTAGATGGCTCTGCCTTACCTGATTTCATTTGGCGGGAAAATGTATTTTTTACTAGTGCTATGAATATCGATGGTTATTTTTATTATAAACATAAACATATAATTACTATAATGTTATGAACATTAGTAACAGCAAAATAAGATGATGTAAAATATTTTCGTAAATTAAAGAAAAGGGTAAACGGGCAAGACAGGCAGTACAAATACAAGTGTAGCCATCTATGTGTAAAAACAATCAAACAAGTCGACTCACAGTGGGCATGTCACGTATACGTGACACCCGGCGCGAATGGGTTAAGACTGGTACAATGGAATACTCATTTAAAGCAAACAACTGAAAAGTGATCACATCAATGAACACTTTAAACTCTGACTGACTGACTCTCTCTCTGTCACTCTCACTCACACAGACACACAGAGACACACACTTACTTTCTTTCTTTCTTCCTCTCTCTGATAAAAGAAAGAAAAGAAGAAGAAAAGAGACTTGAGTAAAGAATTTGAAATCACTGACCTTGGCTCATCCTCAATGGTGCAGCACAGTACATTGTCGAGTATATAGTTCATGTCACCCTCACCATCAATATAAGCCTGCTTCAGGTCTGCCTTTTCCTCTTCAGATTCTTAATGAAAGAAAAGGAAAAATATACACACACATACGGCTAAAACATTTAGCAGCCAGGTAAATGTTAACAAGACCACATCCCTCGAGTAACAACTTTATTATGAAAATTCCGAGTTTCTAAATTAAGTGTTACCCTTAGGGAAGAAACCCTAAACTGCCCTTACTTTTCCTTCTAAACTTAACAATCCTGTCAGAACTTGTAACAGCAATACATTATAGAGTTCATGTATTATTTCCTGGTTAATATTTCTAAACTTTAGTTTCACTTGTTCATATCATTCAGTATTTACATTACACAAACAATAAAGCCATAAAAAAAAAAAATAATAATAAAAAAATAAAAAATAAAAAAAACTATGACAGTTCATGGTTAATGTTAAAACAAAAATGTGCTAGACATCACATAGCACTATGGTAAAGTATGTGGCAAAAAGGGTAAATATGAGTCAGTTGTGTTAAATGTCGGAGGTTATGGAGAACTATGGGATACTGTGATTGTGAAAAGGGTAAAGAGGGGTAGCAAATGGAGTAAGGCAAGGTATAGTAAAAAGGGGTAAAGGGGGTTAAGTGCAAAGGGCAATTAGATAAATAGTTATTTTTATGTATAAGAAAGGAAGAGGAACATTGCATAGGGAAAGTGCAAAAGAGCCATTATGAAGCAATAAATGTGTAACAAGGGTAGAAATAGATGATGTAGGTGTAGAAGAACTCAGGGAATGAGAAAGGGACCAATGGAAGGAGGTGAAGTATCAGGAATACCATCAGAAGGGGTTGATCTGGGGAAGGTCACAGTTATGACTTTCAATGTAGAGGGAATGGGAGAAAAGAGATTGGAAGATGAATGAAGGAGAGAAGCAGAGCAGAGCAAAGGACAGTGTTGGAATATGTAGTGAGAAAAAACCTTGCTGGTGTGCTCCCTGTCTGGCCTCCCATAAAGTGAGAAGTTTGAATCCGAGAGCTACTACCTCAGCCTTGAACTTGTGGATAGGGCATCTCCTGTAGAATACATTATGAGAGACCACAATTGGCATATGATTGCACATTGAGGATATCTGGCTATGAAGCGACAATGTTTGGCAGGGTGGCCAAAACACTAGCATTTCTGCCTTTGATGGGAGAGGGGTCGATATGGTTGGATAGAGGACTCTCCAGCAATATAAACTTCATTAGGGAGGTCAAGTCGGTGGATGGTATTCTTGGTAATATTGGTGTAGGATTTCCAGTGGCATCTTGGGAGAATAGTGTAGCACTGTACTGATACGGCATCGTAGTCAGTAAGGCAGGCAAGCAGGTCATTTTCAGTCAAACCAATCCTTGTTGTAAAAAGGGCAATCAGCCAGGGAGATGAAAACAGTTCCAGTACGATTATTAAGGAAGGAGTGAATCTAGGCAGGAATGGGTTTAGCAGTTGAGGTAGTAAGCGTAGATAATATATAAGCTTGGCATTCAGATGTTACTATTACAAGGCATGAATGAAACTTGGCCTTCTTGTTTTTGGAGACATTATTGGAAGAGGTGGATATTGCATGAGTAAAGACTGTACAGGAGGAGGGGAGTGAATATCAGGAGAGGAAGGAATGTATTCTGAATGTTGGGTAATGATATGGAATGGATCAAGTTGACAGCAAGCATCAAGGAGTACCAATAGCAGTGGTTGTAGCCATAATCAAAGGAGGCAGGGGCCAGGAAACCAGATAGACTAGCTGATGAAAGGGCAAAGCTTAATGCCCCTTATAGAGGTACAGAATCTTCTTTGGCAAGGATGAGCCTGATATATGTGGTGAGGAAAAATGGTCTACCTATCAGGGTCCCCATGAGGGGTAAGGGCTAGGTAATTAATTAAAGGAATACCATACCTATGGTTTCCTTATGCTCTCAGGACTGACACAAAGCCAGCCTTTCATCCTTTCAGAAAGGCTCTTACACCTTAGGAAGTGGACAGAAGAAAGGAATGGAGAAAAGAGGGAAAAGGAAAAAGGGAGAAGAGAAACCATGCAAAATTGGTTGATCAAGGGCTGAGGCCCGAAGTAGGGGCAACCCCCAACACTGGGCCTCAGTTCCCATCTCCTATGCCCCCCCCCCCATGAGAACAATGGGCATAGGATGGGGAGGGGGGGATCAAAGACTATGAATGAAAACTTTGAGGCTTCCATAAATTGTTTCTTTCCCAGTTTGTAAAAAGCAGCATTCCTGTTTAAACTATTCTGTTTCATAAATGACAAATCTGATGAGGGGAGAAGTGCTTTCTCTTACAGAGATACTGATTACTTAGACAATCTAAGTAACCAAATTGGCTAATATAGCACTGTACCAGCTCAATAAATGATGCTGGTGACTGCTGAAAAGCATTTACCTTTGCTGATAATGTCAATATAAGGCAAATTTAAAGTAATTACTGAGAAAAATATGGAGAAAATGGCTCAGGTAAGCTGCACAATCCCTGCCTCAGCTAAAACTATAAGCCACAACACTATGTATTATGGCTTCAGGAATCAGGAGATAGTATCTTCAAATACCAAGCCTCACATAGGGGTATCTTCACCCTATGATGCTGGGAGTGCATATATAGTTCTGATTCTGCAAGCCCTTAGTCAACAAGAAATCAATTCCTAGGCTTACGTACTCTCACCCTTTTCATTAATTCCTTGGATACAACAATAATAATAATATAAAAAATAACAATAATCATAATAGTAATCATAGTAATAGTAATAATTATAATAGAAATAACAATAAAACATTTTATTTTTAATGTGTGGAAGTTCCTATATTCCAGTTATCAAACTAAACAAACCTTAATTTCATCTTGAACTGAACATAGCTTTTTATATTATTCCCATCCAAGGGGTATAGCCTTTTCCCTTCTGGATCCCCCTCTCCTCTAAGTTGGAACTTGGTCATGGAAATAGTAATGGTGCAATATTTGCCATTTGAATAAATCATTAAACTTCATTTCTGCTAATCCAGTGTCTTTAAGGTTCCTTTAAAAAGGCATTATCCTTTATTATGGTCCACTTTTCCATGATAAGGGTGCATCCTTAAATATACGATGATATACAATTTTTTTAAACATGATTCTTCATAATAATCTTTAATATGGAAATTAGTTTTAATAACTGAAGATTTTTCTTTGCATATTTCAAATTAAGGATATGGTGTTATTATTATCATATTAAACAAACTATATCTTTATAAAAATTAAGTATCTAAACTAATAATAAAGGGAATCCACTGAAAGATGGGGTATTCTTTTGCATACCCTTATAAGATTCTTCAAAGTTCTTGATATCATCCACAGTGATCTTTTTGAAGAGAAGTCTCCAATACTGGTCCCAGTCGCGGTCATCAGGGGCAAGGTTCTCGTCATCGACCTCTCCTGCAATGGTTTTTATTATTCAGGAACATATCTTATGACATATAATATTAATTTCATATTAGTCTAAAGCTTAAAAACCTTAGTAAGAGTATCCAGAATAGTCTCAATAGTCATAAAATAACTTTAATACCTGCAATAAGAATGAAGAACACATACATTACAAAAAAAGACATGTACAGATAGTCCCCTACTTAAGAACATTCTACTTATGAACATTCCATACATACAAACAAAATTTTTTAAGTACTAAAGTCAAAAAAATTGTTTGAAAGATGCTAGCAAACTTCAAATTTCCCAGGTGCGAATATAGTTGAAGAGTCTGGTACTGTATAAGGTATGTTGTACTTATTGGGATTTATTTACAGGTATTCTTAATGTAAACAAAACTTTAAAACAATGAGGAAAAAAGTTGTACTTATTGGGATTTATTTACAGGTATTCTTAATGTAAACAAAACTTTAAAACAATGAGGAAAAAGGTAATGGAGACCCGACTTTTGACATACAAACAAATCAACTTACAAACAGCCTCTCGGTCCCCATTATGTTCTTTAGTTGGGGACATACTGTATTATACTTTGTGTTAATTGGCAATAATTCACATAACAACATACCTGTCTCATCATACACAGCTCGTCGATCCTTGTCAGAGAGGATGGAATAGACTTTGCCTAGAGTTTGAAACTTCTGTGTTGCTTCTTGCTTATCATCTTCACTCACTCTGTCAGGGTGGACTTTCAGCGATACTCGGTGATAAGCTTTCTTGACTGAAAATAAAAGGATTTACATGTGTATTTCTGTAAAAAAAAGAAAAAGTCTTTTGTGAAATGACTTTGCAATAACTTTAATTACTGTATACACTATTTCTGCAAAAATAAAGAAAAGAAATGAAGGGAGTTTTTTTCAACATTTTATTCTATTTTATACAGCAAATGAAACTGGAAGAAACAAACACAAATAAATACATAATGATGTTAATTAATCCCTTTGTATTTTACAAATCAAATCTTACTGGTATATAAAAACATGGTACCTTATCACAAAAAAGTTTTCAAAAATACTAACAAGAATTTAGTTAAACTTTAATAACTGAATGACTGAAAAATGATCACTGTAGTTTTATCCTTACAGCCCTCTTAGAAATTGAGAACTAAAAACAGCAGCATAACCTGTTAGGGAACTATAATCATAAAATCATAAACTTACACTGGTGGCAAATCTATGTACACTTACACAAAATCTGCTGTACCCCTTAAAAGAAACATCTTTCAATGTAGCACCAGGTTACAAAAGGTATGAAATAAAATGGTATAATTACTTCCTTATTCTCTTTAATACAACAAGGCAATCCCACAAACAAAAAGGTCTAAAGTGCCGTTACAAAATTGCAAATCCCTTGAGAAGGCCTGGCAGCGCGGGAAAGGGCCCCCTGCGAGGCCCATGCCAAAAATATGGTATATGCGTAGATGCACTCCCCGGCCGTGACAGGCAAAAACGAACCCACGAACAACGAAACAACACCAAAACCTCCAGGAAAACGACCAAACCGGCGTCGAAAAAAAGTCAAACGAGGTCATGTCACTCCCTTTCCTCCCATATTGCCCCAGGAGGCCGCCGTCGCCCCCCTCGGCCTGGCGGGACACTCACGCTCGTTCTCCCGGGCGCTTTTCTCGACGCCCAACACCTTGTAGAGGCAGGAGACCCCGAAGAGATCCTCGCACGCCTCTAGGATACTCGGCATGGTGGTCGTCTCGCCGAATCAAGTCCGAGGAGAGATTGTGTGGGCAAAGTTCCTGGTCCGTCTTCCTACGCGGCCGCTGCTTTGTTTACTTTCGAGCAGACGAACCGTTGGCGCGGGCGAGGCGGAGGCAGAGGAGGGGCGGCGGGCGCACGGGCGCTCTCCGGCCGGGGAATTAATAAAATGTGGCTCAGCGGACGGGGTCGAGGTCGGCTTTCTCTTTGGATTTATAAGAGGTCGTCGGCACATCTTGGCAGTGGCATTATGTGCAGTGTCGGCATTTTAAAACGTTTATGCATTATGTAGCAGTACATAAATGCGCAAATCTGTGTCATTGCATGCATGCAACAACGCATTCGGATGCAACACACCATTTACAGAACTAATATACATAGAATATATAGACACAAAATCACACGAACATTCACATGCCCATACACACACACACTCGGACATGCACACAAAAATCCTCATTATTGTCATATGTCTTATACCCCAATTATGCATCAAGATTTGTAACGCCATAACATCATTCGCAGTTATTATTTCCCGACTTTACATCAAAGGAGAAAACATCAAGCCTTTTTCGGACGCCAACGACCAGGCCCTAAAACAGCTTGTTAACTAAAAGCGGAAAGTCTTCCTCGAGTTCTAGAAAGATCCAAACTCGAGAAAGAAGATTCGATGCCAGCAAATGAAGACGAAACTTCAAAAACTCGTAACATAAGGAACCAGTGGCTTCTTAACAAGGCTGTTGAGAACCAGACGTTTATGGACAGGAAAAACACAAGGGTAACTACCTCTATGCACCAAGGATGGTTTGAGCCTACTGAAGACTAAGGAGGAAATCACCATGAAATGGAAGGAGCGCTTTGGAGATATCCTAAGAGAATGTTCCCACTGACCTGAGATATGCAGTAATCTTCGCTATTTAGAAGCGTAAAGGAGACAAGTCTAACTGTATGTCATTTCTTTGCTTAGCAGGAAAGGTCCTTGTTCACATTGCCAACAGCTGCCTCATACCAACTGCAGATAACTTCCTCCCCGAGACCCATTGTTACTATTATTATTATTGTTATTATTATTACTATTATTATCATTATTATTATTATCCTCCTTTTCTTCTTGAAGCTCTTTATTTGCCCCCTCTCACTTCCCTCCTCTTCCTTCTTAAACTTTTAAACCCCACCTCCGTCGCTCCCTTATCCCCGTCCTTCCCTCTCCCACCTCTCTTTTTTATCTGATTCCCCTCTCCTTTCCCTTTCCCTTTCCCCTTCCCCATCTCCATTTGAAGTTCCCCCCATTTCCCCTCCCCCATCTTCCTTTACTCTTTAACCACCTATCCCCTCCCTAACTCTCTTCTTTTCCCCCTTTCTTTACCCCTCCCCTCCCACTTTCCTTCTTAAACTCCTCCCTCAGAGCGCAGTGCAGTGTACTTGCCTCGAAGAAGAATGATAATAGTCGTAATGTTAACGATAATGATAACAATAATTGTAAAACGGAATTAGAGTAGAATTCTCATAGATTCGTGATGTTTGTGTTTCATTCTTTTATATTAATATTGTCCATGGTGATAATGATAAGAAGAACAACAGCAATAACAACAATAATGATCATAACAATAATAACGATAAGGATGATAGAACAGGATTCTCTTAGATTCAGCATATGATTGCGCGCGGACGTGTGTGCGTCCAAGGTCTATATAAGTACATATATATATATACATATATATATATATATATATATATATATATATATATATATATATATATATATATATAAAATTTTCTTCCTCTTCTTCTTTGGCAGTACCACCCTTGCCTGATTGGATGCCCTTCCTAATCAATCGCAGTTTGGCGCGCGAACACTTGTGCCACGGCGGTGACTTTCCCTACGACACTTGCGCTCGACCTCTCAAGGTAATATGTCGCCATGAGATCGGGCTCGAGCAGGAGTCGAAGCGCAGGCATTTTTAAGACTGCCGGGGCGGGGGAATGAAAGCTGGACCACGAGGGCCAGAGTCCAGTGCTCAAACCACTGGACTATCGCGGTAGTCAAGTAATATATATATATATATATATATATATATATATATATATATATATATATATATATACACACCTTGTGTGCGTCATTCTTATTATTCTTATTCTTATTCTTATTACTGTTGTTGCTATTATCATCATCATTATCATTATTATTATTATTGTTGTTGTTGTTTTATTACTATTGTTATTATTGTTATTACTATTATTATCATCATTATTATTATCATTATTGTTGTTATTATTATTAGCATTGTTATTATTATTATTAGCATTGTTATTATTATTATTAGCATTGTTATTATTATTATTATCATTGTTATTAGCATTATTATTATTATTGTTAAGATTGTTATCATGATTATCACTTTTGGTACTATTATTATTGTAATAATAATAATAATTATCATCATCATCATTATCATTGTTACCATTATCATTATTGTTGTTATTACTGTTATTATTCATACTATTATCATATCTATTAATAGTAATATTGTTGTTGCTGTTACTTTTATTATTATTATCATTATTATAAAAATTATAATAATAATTATTACTATTAACATCATTACTACCGCCATTATCATTATTATCATTGTTACTATTCTTATTCGTATTGCTATCATTATCATAATTATTTTTTCATTACTATATTATCATTATTATCATTTTCATGATCGTTATCATTATTACTATTATTAATGATATTCTTCTTCTTATTATTATTATCTTTATTATTATAATCATCATCATTATTATCATTATCATTATCATTATTGTTTTCACTACTACTTTTATTATCATTATTGTTATTATTATTATAAGTAGTAGTAGTAGCAGTAGTAGTAGTGCTAGTAGCATTATTGATATTATTACTATCATTATTATTGATATCATCATCATTATTATTATTATTATTATTACTATCTTTATTATTGATGTCATTATTGTTATTATTATTATTATCATTATTATTATTAGCCTTATTATTGTTATTACTATTGTTATTATTGTCATTATTATTATTATAATAATTATTATTATTATTATCATTATTATTCTTGTTATTATTAACATTATAAATATCACTATCAATTATCATTATTATTATCATCATTATTGTCATTATTATTAGTAGTAGCAGTAGTAGTATCATTATTATTATTATCAATATTGAAATAACTTATTATTATTATTATTATTATTATCACTGCCATTATCATTATCAGCATTGTTACTATTATCGTTATTATTAGTATTATTGTTATTATCATCATTATTACTATTATCGGTATTGTTGCTTTTCTTTTGTATTATTATCATTGTCATTATTATTATTATTTTTACTTTTATTATTATTATTATTACTGTTACTGTTATCATCATCATTATCATTATCATTATCATCATTATTATCATTATTAACACACTATCATTATTGTTTTTATTATTATTATTATTATCATTATTAGTGTTATTATCATTATTGCTATTATTACCATTATCATTTTCATTATCATTATTATTATTATTATTGTTATTATTAATATTGTTAATATTATTGTTATTATTAATAATGTTAATATTAGTGTTATTATTATTATTATCATCATTATTATTATTGTTGTTATTATCATTACCATTATTAATATTACTATCATTATTGTTACTATACTATTACTAAAACTAAGATAATTATAATCACTATTATCATCATCATCATAATCAATGATATCATAAATATCATCGTTATTATCATCATTGTCATCATAACATATTAAAAACAAGGCAATATTGACAAAAACAATCATGGTACCATCACTACTTATATTAGTAATAACAATGAAGATTGCATAGCCACTACCGAAAATATATAAGAAATAATTAGATGAAAGTATCAAAAAAGGTAAAAGAAATGAAAGATAAAAGGACAGTGAGATGAAAAAATATTGATTATAACGAGACCGACAAAAAATGGTAAACCGGAAACCACTGAACTGTTTTTATTCCGGCTGATAGTTGTGTGTGACTGACACTTGATACAAAGCCCACTCCTTTTTCGTTTTCAGCTCACCTATGGAAAGATTATATATATATATATACACACACACAACAAAATTTATGAATTAAATGCGGTAAGTATACACACACACACACAACAAAATTTTAAGAATTAAAATTTTATGAATTATGAATCAAAATTTTATGAATTAAATGCGGTAAGTTTATCAAAATCATATGTGTCAAATCTTATACATATATATATGTATGTATATAGACACACACACACGCAAATGTATCTATATCTATATCTATATATATATAAATATATATAGAGAGATATGAGTAGAGATAGACACACACATATATATTATATATATAAATATATATGGATATATGTACATGCATATATGCATATATACATATATATGTATATATGCATATATATGTCAAAGTATATATACACATACTTACACACACACACACACACACATGTATATATATGTATATATATACATATATATACATATACATATAAGGGTGGGTGCTTCACGCTCAGGGTAAAATAGGGCTACGTATTTGCATGCCTTCTCGCTTGCAGCTACCATCGCTGGCTAGCCTAGTGAGATAAAGGGAGCAACTATGCAAGAGCCTCTCTTGCTAGTTCACAGCCTCTCCGTCTTCGAGACTTCTGCAGTGCCTCCTCGTGGCCCTCCATGGAAACAGGGCACCTTGCGGTCCCAGGCTAAACTAAGGGGGATTCCGGAGCAGCAGGAGGCCCCGGAGGTACGGAGCCATAGCCCACCGGCCATAGCCCTGGCTCCGTACCAACTCCTGCCCCTCAGCCACCCTGGGGTTAATGGGGGGCTCGGGGGAGGTGGGCCTTGCCAGTCCTCCTCCCCCCAGGAAACTCACTGGCAACGTCAGAAATAAATGGATATGCTGTGGGGAGGGGTACTGTCAATCCCACACAGCAAGTGAGGTTGGCTGTTGGTCTCATTGGGAGGGCAATTGTTGGGGCACAGGATGGGAACAAGAATTACTCATCCCACCTGCGCCCTGGTAGAAGCCAACCCAGTATAAGGCCTGTGGGGCAAAGCCCAAGAGAACCCCATAGGCGGACGTTGGACCCCACAGCCTGCTGATCCCCTTTATTTGGGGCAGCGTCGGCGGAGATGGCGGAGGGAACTAAATCGGTTGGTAGTTAAGATGGCTGCCCTCTCGGAGGTGAAAAGACCTTTGTATAGCTGTGTATGCTCCTACCGATGTTTACAAACTCGTTGTGAAAGAAGCGTTCTATGCCAAACTCACATCCATAGCAGACAATTGTCCCCGGCGACTTCAATGCGGTATCCGACTATGATCGAGCTGGCTGAGATTTCTGTTGGCCCCCATGGCTCGGGAGCTGATCCCAGCAGCGAGAACAGCCTCCTTCTCTAGAACTTTGTTAGGTCCTAGAGATTGAGGATTTCTGGCTCTTGGTATCAGCACTTCAACCCGCATCACTGGATATGGTATAATGATATGGGTACGATGACCAAGGAGATTGACCACATTCTTGTCAGCACTTGCTGAAGGATCCTTCAGAACTGCAGGGTTCATTAGAGTGCCGAGTTCTGTGGCACTGACCATAGGCTGATAGTGGCTACTTCAAAACTCCTCATCCCTCCATTAGCCACTCCAGGGTGTTTCACTTGGATAGACTGAAGGAGAAGGAGTGTGCCTGAGGGTGTGCCACGGCAGTCTCTGATTGATTCACAGAGCCTGAAAACCTGACAGACCCAATTGCTCTGTGGGAGTCTTTCAAGTGCGAAACATTCGAGGCATGTGTCCAACCGACGGCTACACCGTAAGACTGGCATGGGACCTGTTACTTGCATAATCCGGGATCGCCAACTCAGGCTATAAGGGCACCGAGCTCGTTTCCCTGTGGATGACCCTGCCCATCAGGTTGTCTCTTTGCGAGACAATCCTGGGTGGAGGATGTCCGTGGAACGACCTAGGAGATCATGGCTTGGGCAGCTCGACCAGATCTATCGCGAGGAGTTAGAGATGGGCCGAGAGCCTAGAAGCGAAGGGTGGCTGGATGAGGATATAATATATATATATATATATATATATATATACACCTACATAGACACATACACACACAAATATATGTATATATATGTATATATATATATATATATATATATATATATATATATATATATATATATATATATATATATATATATATGTGTGTGTGTGTGTGTGTGTGTGTATATATACACACAATACAAGTATATGTATACACGGATATATATATATATATATATATATATATATATATATATATATATATATATAGATATAGATATATATATACATATATATATATATATATATATATATATATATATATATATATATATATATATATATATATATATATATATATATATATATACACATACACACATACACACACACATACACACGTATGTATAGACACTTATACATGTACTTGTAATACATGCAAATATGCCAGGTTAACGTGAAGACACTGTGTGTCTTTCCTGCGGATCGCAATGACGCAATGCCCAAACCACAGCTTCGGCGAGAAAAGCCCTGCCTTTGGAAGCTTAAAAAAGGGAGTTTCAGCGGGTTTGTTTTGTCAGAGACTTATCTTATTCCGAGTCGAACAACGGCAACCAATCCATTTTAGAATATGTTAGAATTAAACACATCGACAAGTTGCCACTGTATTCGAGTATGGCTTGGATATTTTTATCAAAAAGGGGCTTTCACTTCCCATGTAGACATCAATATCAAATTAAAACTCTGGACGTTGGGACCAGAACACCGCGACGCGACCCGGACCTAGAAGCCGATGGTTAGCTCTGAGGATTGGTTGTGCGTGCTGAAGACCTCCGTTCATGCGCTAAGGGTTTTATTTGGGAAAAACTGCAGTAAGTATGCGTGTTGGTCACTCCTAAGAACTAAATTTTGCATTTTTCTTCCCGTTTCAGCATACGCCATGGCTAGAGACATATTTTTTGGCGATCGTAAGCATAAATAAAGGAAGAGATAGGCCGTGTCTTTCGGTCTTCCACGGATCGGGGCGACGAATGATATCTTCTGTTTGTGTTTTCCTTGTCATTTGTCCTCGTAATCCCCCTCAGATGATTAGGAACTTTGATGGGAAGTCGTTACATTTTCGTTGACAATTGTTGGGAGGGAGGAATGAATTTGCAATCGTGTAATTTTTTGTGCCTCCCTTCGGTAACCATATTTCAAGCTCAATTGTTTTTTTTGTGTGTGTATTGAGACTGGTGGCATTTCTCTCCCATTGCTTTCATTTGTGATGAATTACACTGTTTCCCTTCCTCTTAGAATCTTGCGTGGGGATTAAGAGTGATGTTTGTCCCTAGATGGTATTGATTTTGTGGTATTGCATCAGGAGTATCAATTCTGACTACCACTATTAATGACAGGTTGAGGTTTGTGGGCTGATAAGGTTTATTTGTTGCTTTAGTAAGGGGTGTTTGAACCTTATTGATATTTGGTATTGATGTTGAGAGTTGTATAGCTCATGAAAGAAGTAAATTTTATGGTTTTGGTTGAGTATTCAAGTTGATATTCAAATTTTGTATAGTTAGTTTCATATAGCTTTGTAGTACAAGGTGAACTTTGCCAGTAATGGACAGAATGACAGATTTAAGACTTTTCATCTAAGGCATTTCTTTTTGCAAGTTGTTGATAAGAAAGTATTGTACAACACATAATAATACTTTGGTATACATTTACATAGGGAATGCACTGAGATTGGCAAAATCAAAGAACATTAGAGCACCAATTACTTATACATGAAATAATCTGTATGGGTAAAAAATAACTAAAGAAATGAAGCAAGTAGGTTGGCAAGTAATGCTCTGCATAGACCATGTCCATAGTGATCAGATAGGAATCTGTGGCATAGCAACTGCTACGGAAAAATTGGCAATCAGAGGTTAAGCCCCAGGGTTGAGAAGGATTTTAACTCATGCGTCGTTGTTTGTGGATTCCCAGGAGTGCCCCAAGGTTTTGGCTGGAGTAATAGGGACTCAGAGGGGTGTGGTCACTTTGAAAACAATAACCAGTACTTTTGCTTATTTCCTGGACTAATCATTCATGATGGAAAACAAAAGATTCGCGCATATTGTACCTGACTTATTTGGACAAAAAAATGATAAGTGCAATGTTGAATGGTGGAGTGAAACACAAAAGTTATTTCGATTTTGTTGCTCTTTGAAGAATCGGCACAAGTTAGAGTATGGATCTTAAGTGACTTACTTGTGGGCAATTTGCAACTGTCATTAAGTGGTAGTTTATTTTGATGACATCAATTAAGCATTAAAGGTGGGTGGTGGGATATTGATATGTGGTGATGAAAGAATGGGTAAATACTCATATCAGGCTGAGATAACTACAGTATATGATAAATAGTTTATAGTACATGTGCATAGTACAATTAATTTGTAAACTGTAATGATAAATTGGGAAATATTGAATGGTATCATAAGTGTTCAAGTGGCTTCATTATGCTTCTTCCACAAGTGCTTGTAGTAAAGCAGTTTATTCCAGTTTAAAATTTAAAATTCTAATGAAGTTTAATTTAAAAAGATCTGGACTGTAGGCCTACAGAAAAAATAATTAATTCGATTAAAATTATTTTAAAGGTTATTGATTTTGGCATAAATGTTCATAGGGGATAGGGAACATCATTCAGTGAATATGAAGAACAACAAAATGTTAATTTCTTGGAGCATCAGTATCTTTTTTTGTTTGCCATAACAATATTTGTGCCAAGGCAAATAGGTTAGGGTAGGAGTGACACACAAATCTTATTGGTTTTGAACATGCAGTCTTTCACTTAGTATTAGTTTTGATATGTTTTTGAGATTGACATCCTATTTTGGAAAAAAAAAACTATCATTTTGGTTTATAAAATTTATGGTTGATTTTGTTGCAGTACATATTTTCTAGCTTGTATTATGTATGTGTGTATATATATATATATATATATATATATATATATATATATATATATATATATATATATATATATATATATATATGTATATTTATATATTTGTATATATTTATATATATTTATGTTATATTTTACAGGTAGTAGTATCAACAGAATTATGCTAATTTAGTATTTGTAAACCATATGTTATCAATTTTTTGAATGTTTGTAATAGAACAGAGGGCTGTAAATACTGATGTTAGAAAAGAATGAAGTCATATGCTCATCAGGATAAAAAGTAATTTTGATTTTAAATATATCTGTATATATTTGACAGATGAAGTGCATGTCCCTAATGCATCCCACACTTGTTGTAAAAACAAAACTTTACTTTCTAAACAATATGTTTTATCTTGATCCCAAGAAATTTGCTGTGTTCTTTGCTGGAATACATGTAATCGAGAATTTTGTGGCCTTCTTGCTTTGTGCTCCAACAAAGTACTACATATCTCTACTCTTTATAGTCTGGCAAGAGAGTTCAAGTGCAGATATGTGGGTGTGTTAGTGCATTACTGTCATTATATCCATGCTCTGTCTGAAATCCCCAAGTACTGAAACCTTTATTCATTGATATGATTTGATTAAAATGATCTTGCTATCTTTTTCAATGTCATTATATGTTTTGGTGGGTATGTGTTTGTGTTTATGAATGTATGTACACAATCATTTATATATGAACATGTGTGTGTGAGTTTGTGTTTATGCTTGAATGATTAAATGAGTGTCCATAAAAGGGTGTATGTTTATTTGTGAATGACAGAATGTAGAGGCTATAGTATGAGAATGAGTAATACAGAGAAAGAATAAAGGTTTGCTCTGATCTATACTTAGTGGAATGTGGGGAGAACTCATTATTTTTTATAGGGTTTTACTAAGTCATTTGGATTTTTTTAGTAAGTATGTCAAGAACACTTTCTCTTCCATTGAGTTTTCCCTTATTTCCGCAGGTATGGAGCAGACACGGGATACTATCCGCCTCAACTCTGTGCGAAGAATTGATCCTCATGTCTCCCATATTGTGGATTCTGCCAATCGCACAGCACTGTACACATACGAGCAAGGTGGCGAGTCTTGGGCCAAGACAGAGGTAGAAGGCACACTTATGGTATATTCAAGGGTTGCTCCGCCCCATCACATGGTTACGATCATCAACCGGCTAAACAAGTCCAACTTCATCGAGCCTCTTACATCTGCCTGTGATATTCAAGTTAAACCACCATACCTACTCTTCAGAAGTGCCAAAGGAGTCATTTACGGAATATGGTTTTCAGAAACAGAAGATGTCCAACGCATAGCAACTGCAATACAGGAGCACATGAAGAATGATCTTCCTGCAGCTCCACAGCCAGCTCCTAACATTCTAGATGACCCTGCCATAGCAGTTGCTGGGGCGCCTGGTGGAGACATACTCAGCATGCTCTCTCGAGCACATGGCGAGTATGAGAGCAAGCGCAATGAACCCCGCAGTATTGTTACTACAACCACAAGTGTTAATAATGACCTAGTAAAGCCAGCACCACTTAGAGTTACAGCCGGTGAGCAGAACACTGTCGCAGATTTCTTTGCAAAAGTTTCTGGGGCTCAGGCGGGAGGAGGAATGGGAGGCCTAGGCACTGGTTTGCCATCACCTTCTAGTTCTGGACCTCCAGTCTCCTCAACAACTAACCCATCAAATGCACCACTCCCAGTACTTCAAAAGTTGTTCCAAGGAGCTGCTGCAGTCGGAGGGCAAGCCATGGTACAGCTGCCACCAGGGGCACCTGTACAAGGCCAGCAAGGTGTGACAAACCCAATTCCAATTCCAGGCTCGGCTCCACAATCCCACCCACCTGCAATGTCTTCAAGTGTCCCTGGAGGAGCACCAATCTCGTTACAGGAACTTGAAGGACGATTTAAAGATAATTTAAGAATGACAAATCAAGTAAAAGAGGATGATGGAAATCAACTTGGACAACAACAAAAACCGCAGCAGCAACAGCCACAGCAACAGCAGCCTCAGCCACAGCAAGCCTACAACCAGCATTTACCGCAGTCAGAACCTTCATTGCTCTCTCCGCAGGTGTTCACTAGTTCACGAACATCAGACCCAGTTATTCATGGCACACCTCCAATAGAAACTTCTTGTCCACGCACTTTCCCTGGTCTCTTAACTCCGGGCACAGCGGCAGCCATGGACATGAGGCCGCTAAATGGGTCTCAAGAGTCCCTGCATGATGGGCTACTCGGAGGTTCCTCGCATGTGACACCTCTTACACAGGAGCAGTTAGTACAGGCATTCACCATGCTCCTCAAGAAAGACGATTTTGTCCGACAGTTGCATGAGGCATATGTCCAGGCTTTAAACCTCTCTCTCAAAGGTTGTTTGTAGGTGAACTGAATCTTCTGAAATAACATGAAAGTTAATTGTACTCCACTGGTTTTCCATGTTATGCTTATGCATTATTAGTGCTCATTATAGCAAAGTATTCATGAAATTGAAATACTGTAGGTGATAGTTACATGTCACATCAAAATATGAAACCAAGTAAAACTTATATTTTTAGCAAAGGTTTTATGAGGAATGTGCTGGATTGTGTGTGAAAGTTGATAAAAGCTTTTTCATATGCAATCTCAATTAACCAGTGTCTGTGAATGTTCTGTGTTGTATCTGCGATAATGGAGAAATAGATGTTATCATTGAGATAAAAACATTGCTATAATCATGGACACGTTGTTAACTAATCGTATGTTTTATAATTTATTTTGCCTTGTTAGTCAGTCTTGGCACAAAATGTTTTCCAAATGACTTGGTGAGTCCTAGTTAGGTATTACAGTGACATTCATGTTAGTTAAACTTGACTCTTTAAGAATTATTAAGTACTGAGTGGTATCCAGTGTATTACAAATATAACTTGGTGATAATCTATAGCCCGTTGTTATGGTTGATGGGGATGAACTCGTAAGATGTTAAAACTGGAAGAGAGAGGACTGTAATTATTTTATCAGAAAATATCCCCCTGTCCCCCCACCCCACCCCTCCAAAACAAGAAAGAAAAAGAAAAAATCACTGGAATTTTGGTATATAGTTTTGTGGAATGCCTTACTGTATTTTGATGTCCTCTATTCACATGGATTCAGTCCTTGGCAAATTTTGTAGCAGATGCCTCAAAGCTTATTTTTTTATGGAATTTTTTGTTTTGAGTTTTCATTTTGAAAGGCTTAAAAAATATTCTTAATTGTACCTGTTTCATGGCACACATGAAGAGGCAGTGAAGTTGAATTACTTGTTTTTACATAGTACTTTTGCTGTAAAGGATGTTTTTAGACGAAGGAGTTTATTCTGTAACTATGCTACAGATGTAGTTTTTAATTTTAATTCCAAAGAGCATATGGCCCTTTCCCCTCCTTTATCAAGTTGAGAAATGCAGAGTGTGAATTGAGTGTGGAATGTAAGAGTACATTAAATAAATTGGGCAGATGAGGCTGTTGACATTTCTTTTCTTTTTGTCTTTTTTTTTTTTTTTTTTATTGCTATAGATGTATATCTCCAATGACAATTTATGTGATTTTCTCTTTGAATTGTGTGTTTTTGTGCCATTATGGAATTAATTCATAACAGATATAAAACTGTTGGTGTTAATGAAGCATTTTTGTTTAGGGGGAAATACTCTGTATATCGTGTTCATACCAAATATTTGAATTTTGCTTTGGTAGCAAATGGTAATAGAAAAGTGAATACATTGTTCAGAAGGAAGTATTTTTTAAATTGTCATTTTGGTGGTTACTGAAAGTTAATAGTGCACGAGTTTTTCATTTGTTTCAAATTTTATTTGATTTTTGTAAATTAATTTTTATTCCACTTTCATTTTGTTTTACAAATCTGAGTCCAGTTGATCATGGTGACCAGTATGATTGATGTAATTTTCCACTCATAGGAAGCCTAATGTATAATTTAGGTGTAGAGTATTTCATTATTTTATTTTTTTTATAGCACATATCTGTTGGCAGACTTGGTTTTTATTTTATTATATTTTTTCCAAACAATCATAACATGGCACTCAAGGTATCATAATTTTCAGTCACGAGAAAGAAAGAAATATGTGGGCAGAAATTGTTTTAGTTCCTCTATTGCATTAAATGCAAATGTAAGATATCTGTCAATTTTTTTTTTTTTTTTTTTTTTTTTCTTATATGTTGCATATTAGCTTAGGATAGCAAGAGTCGGTGTCAAAGCATTCAGCATTGGGAAAATCTTGTGTTTTATTTCATTCTTAGATTGAGAAGCACTTGTATAGAATAGCACATTGGTTTGATATAGTGTTTATTGTAGATTTTATTAGGATTCTATTTGTTAGACTTGCATTATCCCCTTCACCTAATAATGTTAAAGGAAAATATTATATAGTAGTTGAAGATATCCAAGTGCTGATTACTTTCATATTGATTAAAAGCTGCTTGCTATCCAAGTCAATGGGTGTATTGGATTTTTTTTGTTTTTTTGTTTTTTGTTTTTTGTTTTTTTATGAGATTTGCTGGCAAGTTATCCTTAGGTGTGCTTGAGAGCCGGGCAACTCTGCCATATACCCAGCAGATCATTATGTCTATAACAGACCCATCTGTAAAGTCTTAAAGACAGCTATTTCCAAATGTACAAGGAAAATTGCAGAGTATCAGAATAAACATTGAGATATACTGTCTTTTGTGGTCTTTTGATGCATACCTGTAGATAGGTATTGTGGTCATTATGATATTGTTGTATTGTATCTGAAAGTGAATTGAAATATAGCAATGAAATAAAAAGACTATGAATATAAATGATTTAAACTGGATTTTTTTTTTTTTTTTTTTTTGAATATTGAACAATGCAAAAACCTGAAAAGGAAAATCGGCAAAGAAAAGAATGGTACAGTGGCTTGGTCTTTATTTTGCAAAAGTTTTTTATTTGTTAAACATCTTGACACCCCCAGTCACTTGCTCATTGTTTCTGTATGGGGCTTAGGAGGCAGAGACTGAGACTCAATGTGGGAATCACCCCTACCAGGGATCTCAGCCATCACTCAGCTAATTCTGCAGGTCTTGTCTTCTCCCTTACCTTTTCCTTCTCTTCTTTATCCCCTTCTTCTGTCCACTTATCCAAATTGTTAACTCATATTTACCCTTTTACCACAATACTTTGATCACCTAATTGAATCAGAAAACTCTTATTTACATCGCCTTACTGAATCAAAAGACTCTTACCTGGGGGCTTTGCCCCCAAGCCCCAACCTATCACTATACATTGTTAAGTCCTTAGATTTTGACATGGCAGAAAATTCCCTCCCCTCCTGGCATTCTTCCCGATATGTCACTACCTTCCCCTGTCCCCTTATTTCATTTTCTGTTTTCTCCTTCTACAACTATGGTCTGATTGCTCTATACCTTAAACCCCATCCCCCTTTACAAATCCTCAATGTATTCCATTTGCTCCCGCTTTATACCTTTTTTGCTACCATTCTCTCCTACAGTGTCATACAATATTTGAAATTTAATTCATCTTATCCTGATCATTAACTCATTTCCACCCTTTTAACCACAATACTTTACCAAATTGCTATATGACCTTTGATGTCTAGCACATTTATTTCTTAACCTTTAACCATTTTATCCTTTCCTTTTTGCTTCTCTTCATCCCTTCGTCTGTCCACTTAATCATTAACTCATTTTTACCCCCTTTTTGCCACAGTACTTTGTCATAATGCTGTATGACCTTTGATGTCTGGCACATTTGTGTTTTTTGACCGCTGACCATTCTGGAAAATCCACAAACATCGCCTTATGAACCAAAAATCTTACCTGGTAGCTTTGCCCCCAAACCCTTAGGTGTTGATGCAGCAGAAAATTTTAAATAAATAAATAAATAGATATATTGTAATTGAAATTTTGAAACTTTTTCATGAAAAGAAATAAAGGTTGAGATGTAGCTTACCTGAAATATTTTGGACATTGCAAGTATCAGGATTTCAGTATTTTATTTGTGGATAGGCAGGTGACCAGGGTGACAAAATATTAACAAAGGATGAAAATTACAGGGTTAGGTGAAGGTGCTGCTTGTGCCCTTCAGGAGTGTTGCATAAATAAGAAAGCTGGTTGTATGTAGCAAAAGAGATTGAGGAGCTCCATTGTTTTATAAAGTGTTTGCCATCTAATCAGATTCCCAGGTGGGTTTTAATTACTGTATAAAGCCATAGAAGTGACACGAATTCAAATCTTCAGAGGCTAGAATACAAATAAAGCTTAATCTTTATCTCAGTTGGAAAAGTGTCTTGGTATAATGAATTATTTGGCATGTTGAAGACAAAAAAGGATATTGAGGTACACTGGTTGGTGATAATTATTCTAAAACCAACAATATTTGTTGGATATTAATCAATGATGTGTCACTAACCTCTCAAGTAAAAATAAAGAGAAAATAGTAAAGGTGATGTCTATTCTGCTAGCCTTGTTAACAGGTTTTGAATCCAATAGTACTGGTTGAAAGGGGGCTTCATATTTTAAAGCAAGACCTGTGGGTTAGGAGACTATAGTGTAGTTTTAAAAAATTTGTATTAACCCTTGGATCTGGATGCTTCACTGCCCATACATGGCTCAAAATCCAGGCAATAGACTGTTTTCCTTGGACAGACTCCATATTTTCTCTCAATGTAGTCCATAACTCGGTGCAGTAATAATAACAAGTAACATTTTGCTGTTTGGTTTGTAATTTGAAATATTACTGTAATATTCAATTTTCTGTAATACAACCTGCACCACTGGTAATGGCAGGTAGGAATGAGATCCTGAATATAGAAGGAGCATCCTCTCAGGAGCTAGAGCTTGTTTACCAATAGGAATAATGCAAGAGCCCCTTCAAAAATGCCCCCTGAGTTGCATCATCCTCTTTGTGCACTTGTGGCAGTTATTCCTGTCACCCTGGCCCTCAGCTAAATTTTTCCATAATGGGATGTTCATGTCAACCAACCCTCAAACCAATATTTTTTTATGATGTGAGGATCATGACACCTGGATTGTAGAGGTTAAATAAGACCTCTCATGAGAAATAGGTTTTGAATATTTCACATGAGGTTCTCTGGATTTCACAGAATCACTGTTACCTGATCATAAGCCAATATAAGTATATTAATCAGTAAAACACCAAAAGATGGTTTTCATGCCTGGCATTTTATACATAGACATTTACATTTTTATTGGAATAATGGTATGCAAGGAGACCAAAAATACATATTTAACTGGATTTTACATATATGGCTCCACAAGTGCTCAGCTACCAAGAAGTCAATTAATAGACCTCATGATCTAACTTGACTTCCCCTTTCCTTGAGTTCCAGGATTATTATTATTTTTTTAACTACTGGTATTAATATTGATACTGTTATTATTGTTATAGACATTCTTATTATAAAGATATTAACATTACTAATAGCAATATTGGATAAATGAGAATATTTCCAAAAATCAGGGAAAAGGTTAACACAACTAAACTTTCAGTGGACATGACATGTAACTGTCATACATGTCATCCCTGGTGGCTTTTTCATCTGTAAAACAAATATGGCAAAGATATAGCATATATATATTTACATAACTATTCTACAATGTGTTCATATTTTAATATGGGGAAATTCATAACAAAAGCAAAATACAGGAAAAGCTCCAAGTAATTGATCTTGGAGAAATAGCAGATGATTTAGTGAATGAAAAGGAGTGAATACAGACAAGGATGTATTAGATGTTATATGGAAAGAAAGCTTTTGGAGGATTTTAGACTGATCAGTTTATGTAGTTAATATATTCAACCTCTGGGTTTGCTGTAATGTATTTACAAGTAGACTCCTACATACATGTAAATTATAAATATTGAATATCCATTACTGAAAGTTCTGTATCCACAGTAAAACACTGGCCAATGCTGCAAGTCGTCGAGAATCTTAGCCTTCTTAGGATCAAATCCTCTCTGGCTTGGCATGGAATGTGCAAAATCCGTAGAATCCATTGGCCTTCCTCGCTTGTAAGGAATACATTCACAGAGTTCTTTAAGAGCAATGGCCACCAGCACATTAGGTCAAGCCCGGTTATTCCATGGAATGACCCAAGTTTGGCCTTTGTTAATGCTGGCATGAATCAGGTAAGAATTTTGTATTTACAAATTAGCTTTTTTATAGTGTGATATAACAGATCAGGAGTAAATACAAAAATAGGGTAGGATATGGAGAAAGCTTTTATTGAAAAATACATCACACCCATAATGAAATTTCCATTGATCAGAGGCACTTCTTTCTCTTAAGAAAGAGTTACTTTACCAGTCTAAAAGTAATAAGATATATAAAAGTTCACAATAATTACAAAGCAATAAACAAATAAAAAAAATAATGTATGTTTCATTTCTAGTTGATGATCCTTATTTTTATTTCATGTAGCTTGTCCAAATCTTTGACTGTAAAGGTAACTGATATTTTATAAGTTAAGATTTTAGATACAAGCTTTAAGTCATAATAGTTCAAGGAAAAAAACATTTGTCCTAAACACTGGATAATGATAGTCTTTACAGATAAATAAAAATAAAGATTTTTTTTCTATAGATACTGACATATTTTTTTTTGAATGAACACTTACATGTCTTTATATTAAATGGTTTGGTAAGAAACTAGGAAAAGGATTTAAACAAGCTCTGCTGTTTTGCAGTTCAAGCCAGTTTTCCTTGGACATCAGCAACCCCCTTGCCCCCGAGCCACGAACAGCCAGAAGTGTATCCGTGTTGGGGGCAAGCACAATGACTTGGCTGATGTGGGTACCGATACGTATCATCACACATTCTTCGAAATGCTTGGAAACTGGTCCTTTGGAGACTACTTTAAAGTAGGTTCTTGTCAGCTTGTGTGGTTAGCATTATGTAAAGTGGTTACTATACAAATGTTTTGGTAACTAATATTTTCTTGTGAAAATTTTATTCAAAATTGGTCATGCCATTATTTTGAACTTGTGTTTCTAAGATTGATGTACTGTTTCCTTAGACCACATGGCCTGGTATCAACAGTATGACATACTGGACCATTTCAAATCCCATTAGTCTTTTTTTTTTCTAATAGATATGCTATAAATTGTTCACAGAGAGAGGCTTGCACAATGGCATGGAGTCTACTAACAGATGTGTACAGATTACCTCCTGACCGTCTTTATGTTACGTACTTTGGTGGAAATGAGAGTGCAGGGCTGGAGGCAGACCTTGAAGCTAGGGACATATGGAGGGCAATAGGGTAAGAAATGTAATTGTGTAGAAATTATTCAAAGCTGATCTACTAACAGATGTGTACAGATTACCTCCATAGGGACATATGGAGGGCAATAGGGTAAGAAATGTAATTGTGTAGAAATTATTCAAAGCTGATTTAGTTTCTTTTTTTCTTGGACTGGTTGGGGAGATTCTCTTTTTTATTCTTTGGTTTGATAATATTCACTTTTTTTATACTGCTTATCTGCATAATGTAGAATATTTTAGCACCATATTTATAACTTTGTAGTTTCCTGTGTTTTAGTTTAGGAAATATAATGCTTGTAAGAAAAGTTATTATGTATAAAGACTTAATGACATGTTGTAGCAAGTATTTGTGGTAGAAAAATTACCTGGTTATTAATGGAATTTGTTGAATGACATGATTCTTACAGCAGTTCATATAATTATCTAAAAATGAAATTTGCAAATCTAATCGGAATTTCTAAGTATTTAATTACATCAAAGAATTCTGAAAAATCTATTGTACAAACTTTTTACAATATTTCTCCATAATCTTGGAAGAACATTGATATTTAAATCTCAGAATTATCTTGATACATTATGACTATTGTATCTTATTTACTGTTGTAATTTAATCTTAACCCATTGCCGCCAGGGATGGCATGCATGCCCACTGTGAGTCGACTTTGTTTTTACACATAGATGGCTACACTTGTATTAAGTATCCAATGAGCCAATTACGAATACTGCGATTGAGTTGTGGAATTTGGTATTCATTCAGTATGAAAGGTAATTAGTACATGCCTATGGGGTGAATATTCATGATTTGTCATACCCATAAATGGATTAAGAGATTAAGAAGTATATATATAAAAAGAGAAAACCAACCAGTTAAGTCATTGATGATCACTGATTCTGACTGCTTTCATTTTGATAATGTTATTATCCTTGCCTAGACTCAGGTATGTAATGAGGGTTAGAGAGTGTAGGTGGATGCTTCTCCCATCAAAGATTTTTCTCTGCAAATTTCTTCACTTATTTGGCAAATAAGGGAGGAAACCAGTCCACTTTGCTGACAAATTAGGTATCTGCTTTTCACAATAAAAATACAGAGGCCTATACTCCCGCAGATATGAAAAAAGGGGCCTGCAAATTGGTAAATAAGGAAATTCTATTTTTTAGGTTAAAGGATGGAAATCTGAAGACACTAACTACCCAGCATGTGGACACAGGGATGGGTCTGGAACGCTGTCTCGCCCGTTCACCCTTTTCATCGATTTATGAAAATATTTAACGTTATCCTAATTTGCTGTTAAAAATAACACCATCTATTCTATATTTATAGCACTAGTAAAAATATGTTTTTTCCCGCCAATTCAAGGAAAGGTGAAATCAGGACTAGCAGAGCCATCAATGGACAGAGATATTTCACAAAAATATAAAAAATGAGTACTGCATTTCCCCCATTTTTTGTTCATTTTCCCCGGCGGCAATGGGTTAAGATGGCTATTGAATATTAATCTTTGATTGACCTGTGCTTTAATCTCAGAAGAATATCACAAACCACAGTTGGTGTATTATTCTCAAAACAATAAAATACATTTCATATTTTTCAGTGTTCCAGATAACAGAATCATCCCATTTGGCATGAAGGACAACTTCTGGGAAATGGGATCACACGGACCATGCGGACCGTGCACTGAGATACATTACGACCGCTTGGGACGTGCTGAAGCTAGCGAGAGGGTTAACCTTGGGGTGGAAGACGTGATTGAGTTGTGGAATTTGGTATTTATTCAGTATGAGAGGTAATTAGTACATGCCTATGGGGTGAATATTCATGATTTTTCATACCCATAAATGGATTAAGAAATTAAGAAGTATATATATGAAAAGAGAGAACCAACCAGTTAAGTTATTGATGATCACTGATTCTGACTGCTTTCATTTTGATAATGTTATTATCCTTGCTTAGACTCAGGTACGTAATGAGGGTTAGAGAGTGTAGGTGGATGCTTCTCCCATCAAAGATTTTTCTCTGCAAATTTCTTCACTTATTTGGCAAATAAGGGAGGAAACCAGCTCACTTTGTTTACAAATTAGATACCTGCTTTTCTCAATAAAAATACTGAGGCCTATACTCCCGCAGATATGAAAAAAAGGGGCCTGCAAAGTGGTAAATAAGGAAATTCTATTTTTTAGGTTAAAGGATGGAAACCTGAAGACACTAACTACCCAGCATGTGGACACAGGGATGGGTCTGGAACGCATAACAGCAGTGTTGAATAGCAAGTCTTCAAATTATGACACTGACCTCTTCATGCCTATATTTTCAGCAGTGGAAAAGGTGGATGCTGGTTGTCTTTTTTTTAATTTGTTGATATTGCTTCAGTTAGTCTGAAGCTCTAATGAGTTGAAAATTACCTTAATGAAGATGTGACAGATTTTAGTTATTATCAAATATCAAGATATTATCAAATACTTTATCTAGGGTTGTGTGCATACTAGTTACACAGAGAACATATCATGTTTATATTAATCCAAATCTGACGGGCATGACATGTACATACATGCCCTGAGTTTACTCTATTGTTTTTACACATAGATGGCTACACTTGTACTAAGTCACCAATTGAACCATTTATGAGTACTGCCTGTCTTGCCTTTTTACCCTTTTCCTTGATTTTTGAAAATATTTTACATTATTTCGCTGTTACTAATGCCTATAACATTACAGTAATTATAATGTCTATAATAAAAATAACACCATCATTATTCATAGCATCAGTAAAAAAAGTTTTTCCTGCCAGTTCAAGGAAAGGTGTAATCCAGTAAGGTCACAGGGTCTACTAATTGACTCCTTTATGGCTAAGCACTAGCAGAGCCATCTATGTGCAGAGACACTTGACAAAAAAAAATTAAAATAAGCACAGCACTTTCTCGGCAGAATTTAGTTAATCTGCATGTCCTTACTTGTTGACAGTTGAGTGGAAGAAGAGAATATAAGGGAAATTTTGAGAAGGAGGGCCCATGTATTGATACAGCTTACAGAATATTGGCTGATCATACCAGAATGTTCACTGTAGCTCTTGCGGATGGCATGTTTCCAGAAGACAGGTGAGGAGCTGGACAACTAAATGTACATACCAGAGTTTATGTTTATATATGCAGACATTAGAGAGAAAAGCCTGTCAACACAGATGCCTTTTGTCACTTTTCAGATATAATTAATACATTTCCTGATGATATAAATGTTTTGAGGGTGTAATGTTAACTGCCTGAGTACTGTTGAAGCATGTCTACCAGGAATCAGAATCTAATGCATATTTAATATTTAAATTAGGAAGATGATTTCTTAAAGAGATTTCTATTGTTCTTGTGATCATATAATTATATAAATACTTGCATACATACATTCATACATACATATATGAACACATGCATACATATAAATAAATATGTACATACAAATAAATTATATATAAAATTAAACTGTATGGTTGTTTCAGTCACAAATTACGACGTGTCATGAGGCGAGCCATTACAATTGGAGAGGAGCAGTTTGGTTTCAAGAGAAAGGATGGAAGTCTCTATCATTTAACCGAGATTGTAGCAGAAACACTCAGTGATGCCTATCCAGAACTGTTTGATCAACTAGGAAGAATTCAGTTGATCCTGAAACACGAGGAAGAATTGTTTTCAGAACTTCAGAAGAAAGTTAACAGGTTGTTTATTATTTTCTTGATTTTTCTTTTTATCTAGGTTATCTAGGAACTATATTTTTCTGTCCACTTGAAATTGTATGCATTGTGTATGTAATTAATTTTCCCTTTGCCCTAATGAATATTTAGTGTGAATAAGATTAGTAAAACTGATCATATTCTAAATTTATTGAATTTATTGCACAAAAATGATATAAGAGGTCTTAAATTTTGTGTATTTTCTAAGGGAATTAGATATTTCTTGTTATTGTGTTGACATGTTAAGCAAATGTGTGACCCAGTGGTGCTGACAGATAATTGGCAAAAACTTGCCACTGCATGAGATAAAAATTAGAAGTGTGGGGATTTATTTCCTGTTGTCTTTGATTTTGGGCTGCCTGATTATTGTTTCAATGAAAGTATTGAAAAACAAGGGTATAGGTTGACTTTAGAGGGCTAGTGCTGTTGGGGCCATAAAATTCCTTGCTCATTGAATGCGCAAATTAGAGAAGAGCCTCTATTGTCATGTCATGTGGATATACATCTGGCATTTGGGATAACTATTACCATGGCTTGTATAGATGCCATTCTGCATCTGCCAGTTAGATAATTTCTATTATTTAGATTCAGGTTAGGAGTCAAGATAGTACTGAATGTGGGAGAATAGATATAGATGCCAGCCTTTATTCATTGGGTCAAACACTTCTTGTAATTTAGAGGATATTGGATAATACTTAATATGGAAGAATCACATGAAGAATATCACAAGAGAACTAAGAATTTTGATTTCAGAGAATGGGCAGACCTTCTCCTAGTACGACCAGAACTTCGGATACTTTCTGATCTGCATGCTCCTGGTATTATTGAAGGTGTCAAAGAGATATTACCACATATACAAGAGTGGAAGGAGCATGACTATAAACTTCCAGGCCATGTAGCATTAAAGCTGTATGATACTTATGGTCTACACATTGATCAGATAGAAGAACTAGCCGAAGTCTACAACTTGACTGTGGATCAAGAAGGTTTTGAAAAAGGGTTGAGTGAAGTTCGCCAGCTGACGAGAAGTGTCAGCCAGCAAAGGATGGAGGGCTCTGCGACATTTGACAAAGAAATAATCTTAGAAGATCTTGTCAGACTAAACATTCCTGTTACTGATGACAAAGCTAAATATTCTTATGAAAGCTCTGATGGACTTTATGCTTTTAAACCTTTAAAGAGCAAAGTCCTTTCAATTTTGGTTGATGGGAAGTTGAGTGACAAGACTTCTGCTCAACAGAAAATAGGGATTATCACAGATAGGACAAACTTCTACCATGAAGCTGGAGGCCAGGTGGGAGACACTGGGTCAATTGCAAGAAGTAACACAAAAGTTAAAATCACAAATGTTGAAAATGTTGGAGGTTATATCATTCACTGGGGAGAAGTAGAATATGGTGAACTGGCAGTTGGAGATATAGTGACTGCAAATGTTCAGTCACAACATCGCATTGGTTGTATGCAGCACCACACTGCTACACATTTGCTGAATGCTGCTGTCAAATTTGTGACTGGTAAGTGTATTTTAATTTCATCTTATGCAATAAAAGAGAGGATCTAATTTCATTAATAATTAATCATTATAAGAATTGTATTTTTCTCAAGTTGTAATATTAATTATAGATATTTGTGGGATATTTGTTATAAGGTTACATTTAAGCCAATAAAAGTTGTAAGTTATGACTTACGAGTGAATGCTAATTAATATATTTATCTTACAGGACTATCTTGCCAGAGATCATCTCTTGTGACTCCGGATCACCTTAGTCTCAGTGTTAGAACTTATCGGCCACTCAATGAGAGCAGCATAGATAGGACAGAAAGTATTGTCAAGGTTAGTACTGTTGGGTGATGTTTAGGTTCAGAGCTAAATGCTAATTCTGCCAGCTCAAATTGTTTTAACTAGTAGAAACTGAGGTTGGGTCAATGTCTTTGATTTTAATCAGGCTCCAAAGTTTGTTTAATTTTTATGTCCTTGTATCTGCATGATATAGATGTTGAAATAGGATGTATGGAAAATCAGTGTAGAAGTAACATGTCATCAGATTGTAGTATATATTAATGAATATTGCTCTTGTTAATTTAATATACAAATACATTTCACTGAACTACTTTACAGAAATGGATTGCTGCAAGTAAGCCCATTGGTAGAAGAAATATGGATATAAAAGACCTCTTAGGGGAAGCCAACATTACTTTAGTCCCTGGTGAAGTCTACCCAGACACAGTTCATGTAATCACTTCACGTCTAGATCTCCAAGAGGAAGGCAGTAAAGAGGAGCAGTTGTTATCAGTTGAACCTTGTTGTGGTACACACCTCCACAACAGCGGTCATATTGGTAACTTTGCAATTACTAGTATTGTAAGTTCTTATTATTTTGAAGGAATTTCTGTGATATTTGTTTATTTGATATAAACATATAGAAAGGTCTAGATGTTTGGGGATCATTTGTACAAGTGTTGAATTCTTCCTGCAGAAAAGTGCGGGTGTTGGCATACGTAATATACGAGCTGTGTGTGGGGCAGCAGCTGGGAGAGCTTTACGTAATGCAACAGAAGCACAGGCACAACTCAGGGACTGGGAAAAGCAAGTGGAAATGGAACTGTCTGCTGGTGATCATAAAAGGTGATACATACACAATTAATAATTTTGATTTGATGTATGATTTATGCATTAATTGGGGATCTTGAAAGCAAAGTGTAAAATAAATATTGTTAGTTGCATTCACTCAAAGCCTTTGTTTTTGTTTATAGTTTGATCCTGTTTAATCTGTCATTTAGTTGTAAGATGAAATAAAGAAATATCACATAACCAAAATATAATTTAGCAGTGAATCATATAATGGCAGAAATGGTGTGTCAGTGATTGTTTTCTGATAAGTTTTTGAATTTTTTTATATATACATGTTTCACATGTGAGAAAAAAAGGAAAATAAAGATTTTTTTTTTTGTAGTTTTGGAACTATGCTTACTTTGCATTTCTATATGTACAAATCTAAATGATAAACATTAGAATCCAAAGAGTTTCAGGATAATTCTTTTACTATGTTTAACCCTAAATTGCAGAATAAGAAAGCTTGAGAAAGATCTTATAACTTGGCACAATAAAAAGGAAGAGATACCGTTACCCTACTTAATGCGAGCACAAATTAACAACTCAGTGGACAACATGACAAGAAATCTTCGTAATTCACTGCGTGGTGATGTCAATAAGCAGGTTGGTGTAAAACAATAGTGTCTACTACCAGCTATGTGCCTTTGTACTTCTGATGGACATACTACTGGATTCAATTTAAGTAGAAGATTGTTGTTGTAGGTACAGGATGTGTATGATGGATTCCGTAAATGAATTTGATGCACTTCATGTTCACAGTACACTCAAGTGTTATAGGATATTATGCTTAGGGTCATAGTATGTAGTCATTTGTGATACTGTAGTGCACCTGTTTTGACTAAATAGCATTAGTTTTGTTGTATTTGGGAGCTATTTAAAATATATTTCAGTCCTTAAAAAAAGCATCCTTCATATTGGCAGATGATTGAAGAGATGAAGGAACTCACCGAAGCACAGCCAGAAGGACCAATCATCCATCTATTTAATACAGATTTTGGCACAAGCAAGGCGGTGCTCAGCAAAGCCACAAAAATTGGAAGCAAACGACCTATGCTTGTAATGGCTAGGGCTGAAGGTGGTGTTGTTGGCCGCACAGTTGTACCTGAGGTAAGTCGATCTTTTTTCAGGTTTATATCATGTAAGACCTTGAAGCTGAATGAATAAATGCTCTTGCAAATAGTGAACATGGGCAAGTTTTTTGGTTGTTGTTGTTGTTGATGATAAAAAGAGAAGAGAAATTCAGGATGCAAGACAATGGAGATTATCAAGGCCCCATTACACTTGTACTTTTTCTGTCAATTTTTACATTTTTACTTGAATATGAGGCATTTCACATTTATCACACACATGCAAACACCTCCCAGATGAAGATGACAGCAACTATTTTCATCTGCCTAATTTCCATCTTGATCTTGTGCTATAGATGATCTATACTTCTAAAATATTTCTATATGCAATACAGTTGTCTCCTTTACATAAATGAATTTCTTTAAAATAACATATGTATGAGTATGCTTAAGTGATTTGTGGACCACACTTGGATGGTGCCATGTTTGTTTACATTTGCTATATATGTGCTACCTTGGTAACAGTGGTACTCTGATAGGGTCAGACCATTTGCATGTGGAAAGTTCATACAGAAATGCAAAAATTGACAGAAAAAGTGGTAGTGTTACCAGGCTTTCAAAAAGCAGAAAAGGATACATGCTTTATTTCTTTAAAAACAGGAAATGGTTGCTAATGGAGCCTCTGCAACTGCTTGGCTAGAATGCGTAAGAGCGATCCTGGGAGGAAAGGCCTCTGCTCCAAAGGGTCAGGATCCACTACTTGTGTGCAATTTACGAAGTGCGAAGATAAAAGATCCAGAAATGAGCAATAAACTTGAAGAAGCTCTTACATGTTCCAAGGTTTACATTGAGAAGTTTCTATAGGGTACTAAAATATCTTGATTGAATATAATTTTTATTATTAATAAATATTTGTCCTGATATTGTAACAATCCTATCAAAAAATAGAAGTAAATACATTTATGGCCAAAACTTAACATTTGCAAATACTTTGCAATAAGTTAACAAATTATACACACACACCAATGTATACCTGTAAAATAGGATGGCAGTAAAGTTTTATGGTTTGTCAATTTAAAATATTAGCAAATAACCTTTCAATATTCCTCATTATTCATTTTATCTTTCATGAATCTACTAATAAGTAAAAACTACCTAGTACAAATGGTTTTAGCTATGGAGATTAGCATCAACTGCTAACAATATTAGCTACTTTAAAATGACGTCACTCAACTTTCCAACCTACAGTCACCACACACAAGCTACCTCCTCAAAGGCCATCTACTACACCGACATTCCATTAAAAAACATAAATAAGTGCCACTTCATAAAGTACTACCCAAAAACTGTAGTGCCTCATTATCTTCATGACCTTATGAACTAAAACAACCATTGAGCTCTGAATATCACAATAAAATATAAATAATATAATTGCAATATATTCAAAGAACTGAACAAAGGCATCTACCCATGAAATCTGTTCAATAATATTTAAAGAAATAATCTGTATATAATGTATATACTCACATTTTTTTCTTCAAATAAAACAAATGGGAAAATATAAGTATCATTACCCTTAAATAATAAAACATATGGAAGGCTACATTGTAAGGCAATATATTGTGATGTATAAGTCCATACCACACTAACAACTTCATACTCTACTGACTATGTCCTGGAGAAATGCAAGCACCTTCTGATATGATTCTGCATGCCTGTGGAAGATAATTATATAAAGCTAATTAAGAAGCTAAGTAGAAGTAGCAGTGGCCAATATTACCTACTAAAGGGGCTGCTATAAATATTTTTGGAAAGCCTGGGGGGGGGTAATATGATAGGGAGAGAGAAATGGAAAGGCATATACAAATAGTACGTACTAATACTGGATGAAGAAAACCCCAACCGTTTCTATGTTTATCATTTTCATCACGATCATAATCATTTTGATTATGATTATGATTATTATATTCTAGTGTTATTATATGTTTATATTAATATTATATATTTATATTAATATTATATATTTATATTATATATTTATATTAATATTATATATTTATATTAATATTATATATTTATATTAATATTATATATTTATATTTATATTAATATTATATATTCATATTAATATTATATATTCATATTAATATTATATATCTATATTAATATTATGTATTTATATTAATAATATATTTATATTAATATTATACATATTTATTAATATTATACATATTCATTAATATTATATATGTATATATATTAATACTATATATATATATTAATATTATATATTTATATTAATACTATATATGTATATTAATATTATATATTTATATCAATATCATATATTCATAATAATAATATATAATAGAATCTCAAGGAATAAACAATACTTTAAACTATACTTTAAAATACGAAGATCAAACAACTTGGAATGGAATTAAACAAAGTAAGGTTACAATACAAAATATACTGAAGCTACAATAATCAAGGTTTTATGGGTTTAAGTACATACAGAGTCTTTAGTTTTGCAATCTGTAAATACCTTTGCCTGGTGTAACTGAAAATAAATGATTATATGAAAAATTACTGAGTAAATATACATGTAAATCACACCAACACACACCCACAAACACACACACACAAGCACATACCAACAATATATATATGTAGGATGAAATCTTGTAGTTTAATTCACAACCTCCAATGCAACAACAAATATATGATGATGTATCTTTATATATACATCTGCTATGATATTTAACAAACCCTTGAAGCAAAATGTCAGAGTTCTTTCATACTATTTTCTCACAAGGACAACTGCTATAACATATTCCTTGCATAAATATATTTCTTTCTAATTTTCTTTTTCAGCTTTTTATATAATGGTATTTTTTAACCCTCCAAAATGCAATTTCAAATTTCCATCTTTTACTATAAGCAGTTTTTACTGAATTGAAACTGTAAGTCTCATGCTGGTATGTCTAGTAACAATCAAACAGCTGAGCATCAACTTTAAAAATAATTATCACTGCCATAAAAAATGGAGAGGTAAAAGGGAAGGGAAAAGGAGGATAACATACAGAGGGGGAGGAAGAGAGGGAGAAGGAGAAGGAGAAGGAGAAGGAGAAGGAGAAGGAGAGGGAAAGGGAGAGGGGAGAAGGAATGGGAGAGGGAGAGGGAGAGGGGGGAAGGAATGGGAGAGGGAAAAGGGAAAGCGAGAGGGAGAGGGGGAGGGGGAAGGAGAGAGGGAGAGAGGGAGTGAGGGAGAGAGGGAGAGAGGGAGAGAGGGAGTGAGGGAGAGAGGGAGTGAGGGAGAGAGGGAGAGAGGGAGTGAGGGAGTGAGGGAGAGAGGGAGAGAGGGAGTGAGGGAGAGAGGGAGAGAGGGAGTGAGGGAGTGAGGGAGAGAGGGAGAGAGGGGGAGAGGGAGAGGGAGAGGGAGAGGGAGGGAGAGGGAGAGAGGGAGAGGGAGAGGGAGAGAGAGAGAGAGAGAGAGAGAGAGAGAGAGAGAGAGAGAGAGAGAGAGAGAGAGAGAGAGAGAGAGAGAGAGAGAGAGAGAGAGAGAGAGAGAGAGAGGGCACACATGTATCTTTCTATGAATGAAGTAAACTAAGTAAATCACAAAAATATGAAGTGCAATACTGTTCAAAAAAAAAGGTAAATAACCCACCAGTTTTTGAGAGGCTCTGCTATATTGTGGATATTTGTATCTATTGTTTTATTGCAAACAGTTACGATGGTGGATATTTAGATTTTTGGGGTTAATAACAACTTTTGTCAACTTTTTAAATAATATACTAAGATATACCCTACAGTTTAGTTAATTTGAAGGGTTAATAACAACTTCCCTTTTCTCAATAATATTCTATTATATTCTTACCTTTTAGTTAATTTTTGGAGTTAATAACAATTTTTTTTTTCATATATCCTACTGATTAGTTATTTCTTTGTTTTGTCATTCCATGGTAAAGTTTGCAATACTGTACAATGCATTTCCACTTATTGCTAAAGTTTCATGATAATTATTGGATATTTACCTTCCTAACATCTTGAGTTACATGTATTATGTATGTTTGTATTTTAACCCAATGGCGCCGGGTGTACAACAACAACAACAACAACAAAAAAAAAAAAAAAAAAAAAAAAAAAAAAAAAAAAAAAAAAAAAAAAAAACTCTACGCTTAAGCAAACAAAGGCGGCGCGCCAACTTAGAGCGTGTGAGTAGGGGACATCAGCCTGAATCACTGGCTCGCTGCGCTTTGGCGCGCTGCCGGCTCGTTTGGCTGCACGCCAGCTTTTGAGCGCTTTGTTTACACGCCGATTGGCGTCACCCGGCACCAAGGGGTTAAATAATGAAAAGGAATTGGTAAAAAAAAAAAAAAAAAAAAAAAAATGAGGCTGTCCCGGAACATTTTAAAATATCTTTCAGCAAAACAGAAAGATAGTAGAAAGGAAAAAATGCAAATTTAGAATGAGGCACATATATGTGTTTAAATACTTTTTTTTCCCATTAATTAAGTATCTAATTTCACTTGAACATGAATTTACTCACCTGCTTAAGGGTTTACAGATGTCAACATGACAAGCATCTGCTTCATAAAACTCCCCAACTCCAGATGCTGAAAAATATGATTGTATTTACCCTACAGTTTAGTTAATTTGAAGGGTTAATAACAACTTCCCTTTTCTCAATAATATTCTATTATATTCTTACCTTTTAGTTATTTTTTGGGGTTAATAACAACTTCCCTTTTCTCAATAATATTCTATTATATTCTTACCTTTTAGTTATTTTTTGGGGTTAATAACAACTTTTGTCAACTTTTTAAATAATATACTAAGATATACCCTACAGTTTAGTTAATTTGAAGGGTTAATAACAACTTTTGTCAAGTTAATAACAACTGTTCTTTTCATATATCCTACTGATTAGTTATTTCTTTGTTTTGTCATTCCATGGTAAAGTTTGCAATACTGTACAATGCATTTCCACTTATTGCTAAAGTTTCATGATAATTTTTGGATATTTACCTTCCTAACATCTTGAGTTACATGTATTATGTATGTTTGTATTTTAAATAATGAAAAGGAATTGTTAAAAAAAAAAAAAAAAAAAAAAAAAAAAAAAAAAAAAAAAAAACTATGGCAACTTGGATGAGGCTGTCCCGGAACATTTTAAAATATCTTTCAGCAAAACAGAAAGATAGTAGAAAGGAAAAAATGCAAATTTAGAATGAGGCACATATATGTGTTTAAATACTTTTTTTTCCCATTAATTAAGTATCTAATTTCACTTGAACATGAATTTACTCACCTGCTTAAGGGTTTACAGATGTCAACATGACAAGCATCTGCTTCATAAAACTCCCCAACTCCAGATGCTGAAAAATATGATTGTATTTACCATATTGTTATATAATTGTTATTATTGGTATTATCATCATCATCATTATCATCAGCTACACCATCATCACCATTATTATTATCATTATTATTATTATTATTATTATTATTATTATTATTATTATTATTATTATTATTATTATCATTATCATTATTATCACTATTATTACTATTATCATTATTAATATCATTATTACATAGATGCTATGAGAGTCTTCTAAATTCAATTTTACACTACAGTACTGATGAACCAGGCAGTGTTCTAATATATTCAAGTATTCAATGATTACTTGTCTGAAACCTATAAACAATACTATACATATCATACTTCCGTATTCTGGTGGGACAAAGAGGAGGTTGAGTCCTGTGGCTTTATGGTGCACTGGATGGGACTCATTAAGTGTCAGGACAGCTATGCCCCGAGTCTCTACCAAGCGAAGAAAAGACTGATGGAGCTCTTGTAGTACTGGCGACTCTGTTAATGAATAGGGGGAATGGGGCATGGGTGAGAAAAAGATTATAATTTCAGATAGTCTATTTGCAATTTTAGTAGTTATTATTGCAAATACAAACCTTCTCTCATGTCAAAGATTTCGGAGGAGGGTTTCAGTATGTGACGTAATATGCCCCTGGTGACAGAGGAGGCAAGTGGTGAACCATAATGTGGTACACTAAAGAAAACAATACCTAAGGTCTGACTAGATAAATTCATTTTGGCATCAAAATTTGATGGGACTCTTAGGCTTTCAGAATGATCCTCCAGTTTTGTAGACGAGTTGCTCTGCTGGACCTGCAACAAACAATGAAATTGTCTTGAACTTCATTTCCATTAAAAAAGAAAAAGAAGTTGAAAATACACACACACACACACACACACACACACACACACACACACACACACACACACACACACACACACACACACACACACACACACACACACACACACACTCACTCCCTCTATTAAATAGCTAAATGACATCTACTTTGCTGATAATGTTATAATATGTTAACAAAAAGTAGATGAAAATTCTCCATTTGTTATAAGCTCACCGCATCATTCATCAGCATATCCTTGACAATAAGACCACCCATTGAGTGAGTGATCCATACAACTGGTCGTTCTCCAACACCAGCAGCTTCTAAAGATTTTGCTATCTTTCTGCTGTGACTTGCTACAGTTCTGAAATGAGAAGAATGTTTCAATTGGCATAGTAAACTACTTAGAGAGGTACCATAACATATGTAAAAAAAAAAAAAAAAAAAAAATACTTAAAAAGAAACCTAGTCCTATAACTGAATTCCATACACAAGTATCTTTACTTTTGGTACAATATGACTTCATGTTAAAATACCTTTTAGAGAATTACTTACCCTAAAGCCTCTTCTGGACAACTGCTACCCCAGTGCCACCAGTTAGCTTCATAATCCACAGCAAGAACCCTCACTGGCACATCAATGGAAGGAACCAGCCAGTCTAATGGCCAGCATGAAGTATAAAAGTTATCTATATCTGTAATATATAGAAATGATTAGTCCCAAGAAGACAATATACTCTACAGATATTAGTATCCTATTTTTCCAATAGGGAACTTACATCCCTGAAGGTAACAGATTATGTTATACATCACTGATAACTTGTGATTTCCTTTATAATTATTATATTTTTTAGAACTACTGTTATTATTCTATTATTGCTAATATAATTATCATCAGAGTTATACTCTCTTAAATAACACCAACACATTCCCCCCGTACTCCAAGTTTTTAGATTTTTCCTTACCACCTACCTGACTCAAACTGCCCTGAGAGTATCTTTTGCCGTTGCTCTTGTGTTAACAGGGGTTTCTCTCTCTCCTGATCATGTTGTCGCCATGTCAGTTCTGCTCCTCCTCGTATCCCATGAACCAATATGATGTCTACCTCTGCATTATCACTCTGGAAAAATAATAACATCAATAAAAATTTTGCCACAGATCTTTTGCAGTCAAAGAAAGGCTATTAACCCATTGCTGCCGGGGAAAATGAACAAAAAATGGGGGAAATGCAGTACTCATTTTTTATATTTTTGTGAAATATCTGTGGCCATAGATGGCTCTGCTAGTCCTGATTTCACCTTTCCTTGAATTGGCGGGAAAAAACGTATTTTTACTAGTGCTATAAATATAGATGGTGTTATTTTTAACAGCAAATTAGGATAACGTTAAATATTTTCGTAAATCGATGAAAAGGGTGAACGGGCGAGACAGGCACTACTGTAATTGGCTCATTGGATACTTAGTACAAGTGTAGCCATCTATGTGTAAAAACAATCGAACAAGTCGACTCACAGTGGGCATGGCATGTACGTACATGCCATCCCCGGTGGCAATGGGTTAACTGAGTCAGTATATGTATTCCAAATGGTTACATATCTCTTTTTCAAAGTGCCCCATTCACTGATACTTTTGTTTTCTTCTAACTAATACTCACTTGCATTACATCTGGCATGATGTATGGGTAAACACCTTCTTCATATATGATGTTCTTGCCAGTAACTTTGCTTTTCTCAGGTTTAAGATTGTGCAGGCCTCTCCATGCTGGAAGGAAGACATCAGAAGCACTGTGCTCTCTGGAAGAAGTTAAAACGTCCACTAGCCCTGAAATTTAACATTACAAATTACTATATTAACTGGGGAAATTAATGCACAAACTTGCATAAAGATACACACAATTATGAACAAAAATCCACACTCACATGCATTCTAATGTTTCCTTATATAAATAACATTAATGTGTCAAATGAACATGTGCTAACTCTGAATGATGGGCCTCATACCTGTCTTATAGAGTGGCTGGGGATCATCTGTAACAGCTAATATGTTGGCAATGATTCTCAACACAAGAGGTACTGCAGGAGAATTCTTTTCATCCATCACCTTCTTTAGGGTTGCCATCAGTGTCACATCTGTAGAAACTAGCAAAGACAAAGTAGATTCAACTGACTGAGCAAATACCTTTGCTGCTGAGTTGCTGGGTCTTTACTATTTATTTCATATGTGTTGGGTCATTATCTGACTTCTTTTTGTATTACAAATGCTATATCATTTAGTTTAAAAACAACTAAGACAAAGTTCCTTGTAAAAACAAAACAAAAACTCTCTCTTTTATTGAAAATATATCTGTTCTAGCCTTGAGTATAGTCCATTGCAAAACTATAAACAATCATACTAACAAGGATTGGGTTAGTAATCTTCATTCTAACACTGAAGCACATTATACCCAAGGACAAATGAGCAAGAACTTAAAAGTGCAAAGGTTGGAGCATATCATAAAAAACAGGAAGGCAGAAAAGATAACAAATATCAAAGGTCAATAACAGATACATAAATAGAACGGAAAAAAAACATAACAGTTCAACAAATCAAATCATGCATCTTCAACAACTATATTCTTTTAAACCTTATGGTTTCCTTTTTAGTATAATTGCAATTCAGTAAAAAAGAAAAAAAAAATCATGCAAAGGGATGATAACTCACAAAAAGGACACAGCATTGTACACTTATTAAGCTGAATAAAGAATACTGTCTTACTGCTATCTTAATCGTCTATTACACTCTTAACTGCATTCTGAATTATGTTATATCTAA